CAGCAACTTATATCGGTGTTACATCCCGATATGTGGATAAGAGAGTAAAGCAACATATCTATGATTGGAAAATCCTACAGCACTGGCTACCCACCATTTTGAACAAAAACACAATTTCGACTTCAACAATTCAAAAATATTACACACAGAACAAAACAAACAAACGTAACTTTTTAGAAATGTTTACATCAACAGAGAGAAACACAGCATCAATTACAGAACAGACACATGTAAACTTAGTTGCACCTACGCCAATATCATTAATCAAATTCAATATCGATGACGTACATATATCATCATCACATCACACAAAACATATAATGTAACATATAAAACATCAACACATTCCATACTTCAAACATTTCTACATAGTCTAATTTTTCAACAATTTGGCTTTCCTTTTCCTAATTATCCTTCCTAATAATCCTGAAAGGATAATCATGCCGAACCATTAAAAACGTTTTTTCCATTGTCGGCTTCTTTCACCTCAAAGACGCCGATCCTTATACAAAAAATGTCAGTGGCACTCTCAACCCGACAAGCAAGAATGGTACAATTACACAGAAGAAAAGACTTTGAGCCCTGAAGATGATTTCAATAAAGATCGAAACGTTGGCACGATAAAGAAAATGTTTTTCTGAAATCTACATCACACCAGACCGCATCTCACGATTTCTGAATAAATATTTTTTTTGCATTGTATAAATTCACTTTTTTCCACATCCTACATGTATTTGTTAAATTTAAACAATGTTTGTAAATCTCAGGCCCTGAAAATGATGTCAATAAAAATCGAAACGATGGCACGATAAAGAAAATGTTTAATCCTTTTTTTTAAAAAAGATAGTTCCTACTCACAGTAAGTTGTTTTCCAACGACCGGATTTCGAGTCCCTTAGTTCATCATCAGATTGAAGGATTTCTACAACCTGATGATGAACTAAGCGGCTCGAATTCCAGACGTTGGAAAACAACTTACTGTGAGTAGGAACTACCTTTTTACAAAATGATTGAACACCGCACTCACTCCATCATTCACCATTTCTAAGAAAATATTTTTCTAAAACCTATGTCACTCCAGACCGCATCTCACCATTTCCGAATAATCATTTGGGTATAACTTAAACCCCTTAACTGTATAATTGGAGCAACATTTTACAGAAAAGAAAGAAATTTCAAAATTTGTTCTGCGATACTGTGTTACGAGGAACATGTCTGGGGTCATCGCAGCTATAAAAGTATGGAAATAACCTTCAAATATTTTATAAAGAAATGTTTTGGTTTGCCTACATTTCAACCACATTTGACTATATCGTTTATTTAAAATCTGGACTTTTCTAAGTAGTTTCGTTCATTTTTAAAGTTAATCTTATTTTTATAATTAAATATCTAAACTTGTTACCTAGTAGATATCCAATAATAGTTTAAAGTGAAATAATCGATAAAAAATTGTTTTGAATGATATAAACTCTGAGTGAAGTGTAATTTTAATATGATGGATGTATTGCAGAATAAAAAACAAATTGTAATTTAATAGATAAAATTAAAATTTTTGTGTTTAATAATGTAATTTTGTGTTTAAGTCTAAGAGTGGAAAATAGTAATCGTCATCCCTATATAAGGAATTGTGTAGTGTAAGGTCTGAAATAAACTGTCTACAATATAATCTTAGATTTATGTTTTGTGTACATAGATCTAAGTCTTTATATGTAATCTAATTTTCTCTAAGTGTAATGTTTTGGCAGTTGATTTTAACTTATTGTATTTGCGTTTCATTCTTATTTTTATTTTCATTTATTTCTATCAACATGATTGACATGATTGTTTCTAGTTTTGTTCTTAGACAACTTCACAGCCGGCCTAAATGGCTATGAGTATGTAAAGAAAATGCTATATAATGTTTGTATTTGTTAATAAAGACTTTTTTCTTAACAAAAACTCCTTAATGGTTTTATCTTAAGTTAGGTATATCAAAAGTTGAAAACGACAATCCTAATCGAGAAAGCTTTGTGACCGGTGGGTTTTGAACAGTTTGGAATCAAAGAACAGCCCGTATTTTTAAATTTAGTTACTGCTTGAAAATTTCTTTTCGCTTAAATTATGCTTAAATTTTCTATTATGTAATCTAACTGACTTAATGCAAACGTTAAAATGTTCCCGACGCTGAGAGTTTATTTTATATCCTTTGAGCCATCTTAATGAATTGAACATTCAAGTACCTCAAATACATTTTTTCTTGCAAGATTTCAATGCAAACAATTAGTATTTCATAAATATTTTTATGTTTTTATTAGATATATTTTTATAATATATAATATTGGTTTTTATACATTTTTTAGAGGTCTTATGAACTCCGCATATATCCAAGGAGACGACCATACAATTTAACATGAAAATAACATAGTTTCTTTTAAATTTTGATATCCCAACTATTCCTTAAACATTTAATTACACTTAAAAGCGTTGCTAATATACAATGCTAATATACAGGTACAGTGTCTTTATGATATATACACCCAAAAACCTATTGTTGAGGGTAAATTTATCCTACGTGGTTCTGTCGTTTTGAAAAACTTCGATTCATCAATTTTGACAGTTTATTTAGGTCCACCAATTTTCGAAAGTTTTGAAAAAGAGAATACGCACATATTTCTAGTAAGAAGTTTTCCCAGTTTATAATGGAGTACATCCAAGTACATAATTTGTAGTTGTGGGTTTTTCTCATAAATATGTAAAAAATACATTAACATGATTACGTACTTGATGATAATTTAATGATTATTTATTCCCTTCTAACCACGTACCTTTTCTTACCCTGCCGCTCCTTTTTTGTATTGCGTCTCCACCTGTTGTGTGATTCACTCACACTAAGATGTATTTACGTCCGCCATCGGAGTAAGGCGTAATATGCATCTGCATACCTTATGACTCAAGAAATCAACTGCCTTTTAATCAACGGAACTGTAACTCTGCAGTGAAAATGAAACTCAAGCATACGGCGCTCGGCAAAAATGACCACATGGCAACTACTGCTAAAGTTCAACTTCCGGTGCTAAAGTCCAGGAATATCGGATTTTATTACACGCCTTATTACACAACATAAAAATATATTTAATAGTTTCAGCTGTGCGGTCGTATAACAGAAAAACCCAAAAAGGGGATCAATAGGGCTACTGGAGGACTGCAATGTACGGTCTGACTCCAACCAGATTTATTCGGAAAATATAACAAATAAAACAATTTAAATGAAAATAAAAAAGGTTTGTACAGCAAACACAAGTAAAATAAAATATAAATGAAGATTTAGGATTTAAGACTTACTTCTTAGCGGGGGCAGGACAGTCAAAGGCATAGGAAAAGACGTGTTTTCGAGTAGGAAGGCCCACTTACGACTTCCTTGGATAGTGACGTCGGGCTGCGAGTTAAATATGTAAAAAGGTTCAAATAACATAAAACGGGGTGAAAAATGCAGCTTTAATAAAAGCTGGAGTTACTGAGTACAAGGACCGAGCAAGGCTAACTGAAAAAATAACGCGCAGTGGTTGGGCGGTTTATCTCTCGCGACTAGGCATTTGTTTACAATAATATATTAACAAAACAATTTTTTTTCTCCTTGAAAAACCAACAATAATCCAAGGTTTTTTGGTACTAGGGGTTGCTTTGAAGTGGAGAGATTCTAGATGGTCTTTGTTTCTGGCGATTTGACGATGGAAGTTATACACTGGTGGGTCTGGATCAGAGAGAAAGGAAGAAGAAATTTACAAAACATGGAGGCATGTAACATAAAAGATGGAAAATAAATTACTGTTAACAGAAAAACTAGTATTTTTCTAATATTTTTTACCCATCTACCTCCCCGCTGTGAAAAAAAAACTCTGATGATACTTCGATCCAATATACTAATTTCTACCGAAATCCAAATATCCTCAATAAATTGATTGTTATAAGAAATTAAATGTATTTTGAAATGAAATTTTGAAGCAATTGAAAGTTCACCACCAGACCTCTTGCTGTTAGTAAAACTGATCTCTTCGTAGCACATTATAGCAGGGTAGAAAAAATTCACCTGATAGAACACAGATAGATAGAAGAAAAATGATATCATAGTTGCAAGTATTAATCTATATATCTTTCATGGTCATTATTGACCATATTAGTTGTGTCAAGTAATTATTCTTTTTATCTAAGATTTTGGTCGAGATGAAAAATTACCCTACGTTTGTGGGTTCGAATCCCGCTGGTGACACTAACATTTTCATCTCGACCAAGACTTAGATAAAAAGGATAGTTAATTGTTACAAGTATTTTTTACTTTATAAAATTGATTAGATTTTGACTTAAGGTGATTCGCATTTTGATAATAAATATTTACACACTTATTATAATCTATATTTTAGCGAAGGTATGTTTTGTCAATTATGTTTCCGCTTTTTAAGGAGATTGTTTAACATCCTGGAAAACTATATCTCAGGCGCTCTCTTTGTTCTTCTTTTTTAGACAGAAGTAAAGTCTCTGTTTGACCTCATCATTGTCATTTGTCTGGCAATATATACATCTAGAATTCTGTATTATTTTGAACCTGTGGATGTACGGCTGGAACGCTCCACGGCTTGTCAAAATTTGGTTATCCACGTTGAAAACCCCATATAAAAGCTCTGCTATACATTTTGGAAAAATATAAGTCAATCTACCTTTTGAATTATTTCACCATAATCGCTAAACATTTTCGAAAATTTTCCCTTCGAAAATTGTCATTCTCTCATTTCTGAGTTATTCCACCTCCTGCACTACAAAATTATCAGGTTTAGTGTTTATTTCCTTTAGCTCTTATCTCTAAATTGACTGGTGCTGCTTCTCCATCAGAACGCCGGTATTGATACGTTTTAATTATTTTAGATGTCTGCAGCATTGCTATTAATTGAATATGTTCTAATATAATTTTTTAATTTCCTAATATACGTTTAACTTGATGTTTAAAAGAAATAACATATTTACATAATATACATGTATACCTATTTATTTGTAAAAATATATATACTAGTATTTATTATCCAAAATTGGTTTGATTTGGCTTTTTTAATGATTGCAATCAATCCACTGGAATCACTTATGGAATTTCCGGGATGGACTAGATCGTTGGAAGACGGCATGGCCGATTTGGTCAACCAATTTGCTGCTTGATCCAAGGCATGTAGTGGTCGACAGAGGCGAAAACCGTTGGTTTCCGGTTTCCGCAATCGATCCCCCAGGAAATTATTCCGACCTGCACGAGCCTGGTGTCGTCCTTCTGTTGTGGACAGATAAGCGGGCCGCCACCGTCTCCCTAAAGACATCAAGGGAAGATATTATAAAAAGAATAAAAACAAACGTCATACTACAAATGCTATAAAATGGATTTTGTTCTTTCCCCTGGCAAATCCATAAAACGGACGTTCCCGTATCTTACCTTCCAGATTTCTTTAGTGATTTCTCCAACGGCGCAGAAGAATCCGGGATGGAGCGAGAAGTTCTTGCCGAGCGGTGTATGCCGCATCCTATTTTCGCATTCGTCCTTCGAGATTATCGATTGGTCCACCTTCTTCAGTATGCCTTGGACTTGAAAAGAAAAGATACAGTTAAGCGAATGTGAACGGGCAGCATTTCTACTGACGTAACTCTGAATGATAACTTAAATAGTTAATATCATAACTCATAATGGGCTCACTTGATGTACTATTAATATAGAAGGTCTGTATTCTTTGAAGACTTAAATAGCAAATGAATATAATTTTTATTTATGTGTCTTCCCAGAATTAGATTTAATATTAACAACAACGTCAATTTTAACATTTAATATAAATAATAAAAACAATAGTAATTAGAGATTTTGTGTGCTGAAGAGATGACAGGTTTTTTTTCGAAATAAACGAAAAAATAACAATAAAATATTACCGGTCACTTGTTTTTATTTGTTTATTTTCCATAATATCTAAGTATGAAGATTAATAATTGAATCCATTATGTTTAGTGGTCTGATTGACCGAATTACTTCTTTCAATTAATTATTCTTAGGACGTACGATCTTGGTTGAAATGAAAAAGTTAGTTACTGACTCTCTGATTTCAGATATATACTACGTTGATACTCTAGAATGCTAGTCTCTCGTTTGTACTCAGGTTGTCAAATACAGAATAAAAACAAAACATACAATATATATATATATATATACATCACCACAACCATAGATGTCTGGTCACATTCTCTCCCCCAGAGTACTCGATATTCCTCGGGGCGGCAACCCCTTCCTTTCACGCTAATAAATTACATTCATTACAATAAATTAACACAAACCCAACACTCGATAGAAACATAGAGGTCTGGTTACATTCACTCCCACAGAGTAATCGATATTCCTCGTGGCGGGGTTGAACCCTCTCCACTCTCGCTAATAACTTACTTTTACTCTCCAGACGTCACACACGTTAGTCGATAATTAGTCAGAAATCGTGAGATGCGGTCTGGTGTGATGTAGGCTTTAGAAAAACATTTTCTTTATCGTGCCAACGTTTCGATCTTTATTGAGATCATCTTCAGGGCNCACGCACGCACACACACACACACACGCACGCACGCACGCACGCACGCACGCACACACACACACACACACACACACAAAATGTGGAATTTGTATGTAATGAATTTATAAATTTATATGGCCGTAAATTATGATGTATCGATAGAACCAAAAAGTATTATAGGTTTTTAAGTTGACTCCTAAAACGATCTATCTATTCCTCCGTAAAAGTTTCGCTCAGGTACTTTAGGAGGAATAGATAGTTCGTTTTAGGAGTCAACTTAAAAACCTGTAATACTTTTTGGTTCTATCGGTACTTTATAGTAACTTACAATTAATTAAGTTTTTCAGTTGAGATAAAAAAGTCAGTGGCACGAGCGGATTCGAACCCACGATCTTCGGCTTGATACGCCGCTGCTTTACCACTTGAGCTATCGTGACCTCGATCGTGGGTTCGAATCCCGCTCGTGCCATTGACTTTTTATCTCAACTAAAAACCTTAATTAATTGTAATATATTAATTGGTCAAGCGGACCACGAAATTAGTGGAGTTAATTGTACTATTAGTACAATAAAATAAAACCTGACTTTTATCTGTGAATCCCCATCCATAGGCGACGCACTCCTCAGTTTTGACAGGTTCGGCACCGTCGGGCAAGCATGTGATGTCTACGGTCTCGGTTAACACGGCCGGTGTGTCGAGTTCAATAAGAGCGACATCATTGGATAAGTATTTTCTGTCGTAATCCTGGTGAGAGACGACTCTCTTGACTTTTTTGTCAGCGTGCTTGATCGGCTCATCCGTCGTTCCTATGTCGTACTCGCCCACTCTGACCGTCAGTCGACTGAACCAAAAATCTCTGAAATATAAAATTGTAAGAAGATGAAATTATGCTTCTTACATCCTATTACTCACGGAATGCAATGTGCTGCCGTCAAGACGAAGGAAGGCTTGATGAGTGTACCGCCGCAAAAGAATGTACCAACATTTATTATCATTACCATCCAAGGCGCCTCACCGTAAAATGTCTTGGCTGTATAACATAAAATTCCATTGGATCCAATTTTATTTTGAACTCGAGTACGTATGCGTATTTTACCTAAAAGGCCGGCGTTCGAGATCCTCGATGGAAGCCATCCGAACCTCCTCCGTCCGCACCCCGGTGTCCCAAGTATCGTCGGCAGGGTGTATTTCGTCGAACAGTTTATTCCTGTCGGATCGTCCGAAGAAGGGTCCGTCAAACATGGATAAAGCGGCTCAGGATAGACAGTTTGTGCGTTAACTGATTTTGGTTGGTCGGGCGTCGTCGTGGGAATCAAACAACAGACGTCGATACCAGAACATGTGTTTATCCTGTACGCAAATGTTCCTCATTGATCGTTTCAAACTCAATATACATACACAGAAAACACCAAACAGCCAACTAGAAAAATGTTTATGTGTTATAAATAATTTTTATTTTGTCATTTTTTACGCGTATTAAGAAAGTGTAGGTTAGTTATATAAATACAATCTATAAATTTAGGCGGCGATGTTTCGATATCTTTTCTATGGTCATGGGAAATTTTGATGTATTGTTGCCTGTTGGCTACATGGCGTAAAAGTAAAAAAATTCACCTGAATTACATAATATATTTAAAAAATTTTTTTCTATCTTTTTTTCTTTATTTATGAAACAGATGAAACAGGGCACCAACTCATTTCAGCCCCGTACTCACTGTTGTAACCGATGGGGTACTCGTTTCCGGTAGTCCTCCATTGGTTCTCTCATTAATCACTCGCTCAGCTTAATTTAATTACACGCACGCACGCACGCACGCACGCACACACNGGATTCGAACCCACGATCTTCGGCTTGATACGCCGCTGCGCTACCACTTGAGCTATCGTGACCTCGATCGTGGGTTCGAATCCCGCTCGTGCCATTGACTTTTTTACCTCAACTGAAAACCTTAATTAATTGTAAGATATTAATTGGTCAAGTGGACAACGAAATTAGTAAACTTTATAGTAACGTCGATCTACAAGTAAATTCAATATTTTTCTCTTTTGCATTATAATCAAAAAGCATATATTCAAGCCGTATAATTGATCGCTGCTGTTCATTCTAAGATATGAAGAATTTGAGAATAAATCGGTCGATCATCAATCAAACTGTATTCTTTTCTATTTGGATTTAGGGATTTTTCTGTTTAGCACTTAAAATTTAGTCTATGTGCCGTTCTCAGCTAATGGATTTCTTGGATGTTTTTTGTTTCTTTTATGAGGTAGAGAATTCTTCTCAGGGATAAAGTATCAAGATCCACATGGCTGCAGGTGGTATTTACCACCTCTACCAAAGGCTTTCCCTACATAGGTATTGCGGGACAGTTGCACATGTATGTCCTTTTTCAAACTTTTTCCTGTCCTTTTATGTCCTTTTTCGTATGTCAAACTTTTTATTATCTGGATATAATTGACATTGGTCATGTGTTGATGGTCCCATTTTTGTAAGGTGATATTTACCAGGGGCATGTTCTGTGAAGTTTTTAATTCTTTTCTGTTAAATAGGATTTTCTCTTTCTCCCATTGGGTTCTTTTTGCAAGTATTCTTTTTCTTGCCTCATGCCTGATATTTGCTCCCAGTATTTGTTGAGTTCTTTAGTTATCCCAAATTTCAGTTTTTTTTAATGTGGCCGTATTGCATGCCAAAAAATAGATTTAGGCCTTTGAGTCGTTACGAGGCTTTAGCTTGTATATCTGTTGCCAAATTGCCTATACATCAAAAAAGAACTCAGGTTTATCGTTGTTTACCAATTAGCTAACCACCTGTATTAAATTCGAATCTAAAAGTGAAAACCTTTTTTCTTTCTTTTAATGGTCTTTTGAACTCGTATATTAGCCAGAGAACGTACGCATTTATTTAATCATATAAAGTTATATCATATGAGGCGATATATGGACCCAAGCCGTCGTTGGTTCTCACCTGGCCCTACTTACATTTAATAGAAAACCATTAAATATCAATCAACACTAACTTTTTCATCTCTACCAAGACCTTAGAGAAAAAAATAGTTAATTGAAATAATTAATATGGTCAATTATGACCGCTAAACATATATGGACTAAATATCAATTTTATTTCACAGTAACTAAAATACCCTAGAGATTTTATGTCTACAACTAATTAATTATATCCGTTTGTTGTTTGTTGATCTCATTCTCCCGCCATATCAAATTACATAATGGAACTGCTTTAACAAAAACGAATTATATTAATCCATGATATTAGATATTAATCCATGCGTATTTACAATGGAACGTAAAGACAAATAAGATTTGAACTACTATTTTAAAAATGCGCTGGCAAGAAACGACGTTTTCTATGGTAACGAGGAAGTAAAAAATCTAGAGATGGTATAAAAATTGTCTGTTTTTAAAGTTGTCCGATTTCGTGACGGACAAACAGAATAGAGAGTTCATTTTGACAGTTGTAAGCGACGAATTATCAAGCACTACTTACAGCTGTATTATTGTCATTTCTAACGTTAGAAAGCAAATTTTTGTCATTTTAAGCAACAAGCAATTGTCAGCGAACGAGCGCTAAGTCCCACGTCAAAAATCGTTGTTTTTTTTTTCAATTATTAATACCCGGCTGTGCAGTACCCAGTGCTCAAGTGCCAAATTCTAATATGCTACAAATTGTGATGAAACAAATGCTCTAAAAAATTGTATTTTGGCGAGTGGAAGGCGGGTTTGGCTGTTTACCTGATGTCCAAAATGCCTTTTCCATCCGTTACAATCTTGTCATTTGGGCACCGGAAATATGCGGTGCACTCGCACACTTCCTCGGCCTCCGAGTAGATCATGGCCAAGCCGAAGGCGAACCAGATGTAAATTCCTTGTCGGTCCATCTTCTTCAGAGTTGTGGCCGTCTCTGAGCGGAATTATACGAACAACTTGCTGACTCCCTCCCACGACATCCTTCCCAATCTCCCAAGCCCTCTCTCCCTCTCTCTCTCTCTCTCTCTCTCTCTCTCTCTCTCTCTCTCTCTCTCTCTCGCTGTTTTGTGTCGATTTTGTCTTTCCGTTGGATCTCGATTGACTTTTAAACACTTCCCATAATTGCTTTCATTTATATTGTAAAATTTTTAACTTATTAATTCAAATAACAAATATAAAATAGACCAATTTAGTCTTTGAACAAAACGATATTAAAATGAGTACTTCTCAGTATAAACTTGTTAATTTACTTCGATACTTCGTAATAATGGATAAAATAAAACAAATAACAAATACAAATGCACATAAAAACATAAACAAGATAAAACAGTGGTCTGGCTAACAATCAATTAATCACACAGGATATTCCTTTGTGATTTGGTGATAAGCTCCTTAATTCAAGCAAATAAATTACATTCACGCTCAAAAAATTATTTGATTATTTTAAAGTACCACCTTTTTATTGAAGAAGATACTCCTGACTACTGGCCCGAATACAGTGATTTTTTGATTTTTTCGTCTCAAATTTTAATTAATATATTTAATATATAATAATTCTATACAAAAATTCTATACAAACTATTATTTTGTCATTACAGAAATTTTAAATATTTAATTATTGACATAAAAATGATATATGTAGCTTGTAATTGATATTGGCCCACATTTCCGTAGTGTACAAAAAATATTGGTTTTATTGCCTGGCGCACAGTCTAATGGCTTGACCTTTTGCACTGAGATTAACTTTCAATGATTCAAGCCGACATTGATCCGGTCATTGTGTACTCACATCTCCTTCCGGCAATTTTGCTACATATAAAATCAATACTTCCGATATTTTATTGATCATTACGATTCCACGGATATCAAAAACAAATAAATACGTGATTCTCTTTCTCCGATTTGAAACTTTGTAAACTTGGGCTAAGCCCAACTGATAAAGGGAAACTTGAACGAGTGAAACTGAATAGAAAGGTGCGAAGCTCTGTAAGCTGTTCCTCGAACGCAATAACTTTTCGGAAGAATCTGAAGTCTTTACTGCTGGCCAATTTGTTCGGCTTGGAACTTAAGGTAGTTTCCAACATGAGATAACAGAGGTTTTCATTAATTTGTGAACGTTAATGTGAAAGAGACATTGGCAGAAAGTTGCTGTAATCTTTATTCCATTACACTTCTAAAACAAAATGTCCCTTTTTTCTTGATATAATCTTTTTTATGTTAATAAAAACAATGGGTTGTAAAATAATGCGGAGCTTGTTCCAATAAATAGATTTCATTTTTCTGTATTGGACCTGTTTTTATTTATTCATTATTGTCTACACACTTTGACAAGGTAGTTCGGGTATTTTTATTTAATAATTTCGATCGAGTTCTCGCATTTTTACAAAGTGTTTTGCTAATTTAAAATAAGGAAAAAATCGCGCATTTTTGATATTTTATATTTTTTACCAAGAAAGCCCAGCGCCTTCCTACCCATACTGGTAGGAAACATTTTCATCTAACATGTATGCGGTGAGTAAGAACTAAGTCAGAATTCTCCTGCAATTGCCTTTTTTGTTAGTTAACTTTAAATGCAGACAAACCGAGACAAATCCGAGTCATGGATAAGTTATTTCATCACTACTCTTAGTTTGCAGAAAATTGCACGTTTTTACATTTTGCTGCAAACAATGATGTGCTTTCCAATTTTGTGATAATTATTATTATACAATAAATAATATTATAAATAAAACAACTTAAATGCAAAGTTTTAATGTTTTATTTTTTCTAACGAGGGCTCGCAACTGCAGAGGTTATATCAACCCTCGGGGTGCCGGTGTTTTTGAAAAAAGGCCGATTTTTAAGTACGTCGGGTTCGAATGGAGGGCCGCTGGATTCGAACCCGGGACCTTCACCTTACATTGATCAGCGACGTATCAACGCCTATCGTTCCGGCCACGGACGCCCCCCTTTAATGGGTTAACAGTAAACGAATTGAGAGTCAAATATTTTTTTTTCGTTGAATATTTCAACCTCCTACATCTAGAATTTTTTTATAAAATATTTTATATGCGACATCCGTTCTGTTCCATCAGTTGATTATTTTTCACTTTTTTGTTCTAATTTCTCAGTATTCTTGGGGAAAAACAGAGCCCGTTGAAAAATAATAATACTTGGAAAGTTAGAACATTATATCATAAGGATAATTGTACACCAAAATATAATGAATCCAATCCAAAAGACAGTTCCAATATTAAAAGTGAACCTGAAATCAAAGACTGATGGCAATTGTTTTTCTAAAGCATTCTGTAAAAATATGTTACTACAAACAATGTCCACTAACATGTGTAGAGGTAGAGCGGGTTTTCTCCCTTTTTACAGCATATTCACGATGAGAGGGAGTATAAACCTGTCAGATTAAACATAAAAATGTAAATTTTGAAGAATTGCTATAAACACTAATTGTTGTACTCTTTTCTTAATAAGTTAAAGTTCTTTGTATTTCAAGTTATTTATTGCATACGTTGTTTTAAGTATAATTTTAACCTTAATTTATTGTACTTATCTAATTGTATATTTTTGAATTTTATTGGATATTTGTACATATTGCGTTTTAAAAACCAGTCTAATAGATTGATTATAAAATAAGCACATCAGAAACAATATTTTAGATTTTTTGTTTTAAATGATAGTTCCAACTTACAGTCAGTTGTTTTCAACGATCCGGATTTAAAGCTTATAACTCATCATCAGGCTGAAGGAATTTACAACCACCTCTCTCGACATGAATTGTAAGAGTGAACCCTCCAATTCCCCGCCAACGTGACGTCCCAATGAGAAAGCTGGTTTTAATTCCACTCAATTTTCAACGTGCGAAAAGAGGGAATTATAACACAAGTAAATATTATATTAAGAAGTATTGTAAGAAAACGACTATAAATTAGTGATTAAATTGTGTGCTTTTTATTAACTATTTAAAAAAATTAAAATTAAAATAAAATGATACATTAATAATAGATTAGTGAATTAATGATCGATTCAATAAAAAAATAAATTAATCAAATTATTATTTTGTACGTCTAACATTATTTAGGTAAATATTTAAAATAGGAAGTAAATCAAAATCTATTATATTATTAATGCATTTATCTTCATGTTTAATTTTACGTTTTTTAATTTCAAATTTATCAAACCAATCTAGTTCCCTCCCTTTGTTGAAATAAGTAACACTGTTGTATTTGAATTTAAATTCAAATTGTGTTTTGTTCCTTTTAGTCGCAATCATTACAATTAAGTTGGTAAACCCCGCTTTTTGCAATTTTCTCAAACTTGTTTTTAGTACAATTAATTAAGATTTTTAGTTGAAATAAAAATATAATAAATTTTATCTCAACTTAAAACCTTAATTAATTGAAATATATTAATTGGTCAAGCGGACCACGAAATTAGTGAACTAGTTTTTAGTATTGGTTGAGATAAAAACGTCAGTGTCACGAGCGGGATTCGAACCCATGACCTTCGGCCAAATACGCAGTTACTCTCGAATTTTCCCTCCTTTTTTGCCATTTTTCAAATGTCGTGTAATATATTTGATTTTCGGCGGCAAATTAAATGGCCACGGAAAGCTTTCGTGAAGATATACTTCAATTTAATTATTAAACCCATTGCAGATCGTGGTCCGTTTGACCAATTAACATTTTTCAATTAATTAATATTTATGGAAGATATTGGCTGAGGTAAAAAAAATCAGTGTCACGAGCGGGATTCGAACCCACGACCTTCGGCAAAATACGCCGCTACTCTACCACTTGAGCTATCGTGACTTCGATTATCTCAACCAATACCTTTAGTTTTAAGAGGATGTTTCTAAGTGAACACGTACCTCTAAAAGCTATTCTAAAACCTTCTTGTTTAAGAATTTTTACCTAGTTTTTCTGATAGTTGGCAAACAACGGAAACCTAATGATTCATTTTCGGTGGGGTGGCGCAGTCCTATTGTAGCTTCTTTTAAAGTTAAGTTATTTTTTTATTTTTTTAACTAGCAACCCATCAATAAATATGGCTTGATATCTATTGTTTTTTTTTGCTACAGTTTTAAAAATTAGAAATTGTGTTAATGGAAATTTTAACATACGGTCTATGAGCCAAATGAAACCAGCAGCTTTTTGGGTCCATGGGTGAGTAGAATACGCTGGGATCATTGTGACTGATGTTGTGGATTTTCTATATACCTCTGTTTCAATTACGTTGCTTAATGTGGTTTTAGGTCTAAAAAGTTTAAACAACCATCTTTATTAATTTTCAATGTAAAATTTATATTTCGGTGTAGTTAATTAATTAGTTGAGAGATTTGTTTTAGATCCTCTAAGGTTCCCGATCAAATGCGTAAAATTTATTTAATTTGTTTTTGAATTGAAAAGATTATTTTTTTTAAATTATCCATGAATATTTCGGTACAAAGTGGGGATAATGGACCCCATTGGGTCTTTTAGCTTATTATGAAATCCCTCTCTCAATCCAAACTGGGCATATACGGGAATATTAGGGCAAATTTGAATTTTAATAAAATTAAACCTTTTGTCTGTTGTGTGTATATTCGACTAACAGTTTTGTTTTGTAAGAAGCCGTCCAGTTGCATTTCCTTGCGTTGAGATCCAGGGTCTTCTTCATACTTAGACGTCAAAGGTCTATTTTACAGGTTTAAAGATTCTAACGGTTGCGTCAAGATTTGAACCCAGGACCGCAAGCGACACAAAGATTTCATTTTAACACTTAATATGTTTGTTGCAGTTAAGGTCATCAATTGACTAAAAACAACCGGCATTGGGCATTTCAAAGGGATTGTTTTCTACCGGGATAAAGCTTGCTCCGATATGTCCACACGTTATTGTTGGAGCTTGCCCCAACTCAACGTACTTGCCTTTCATTGCACTTTCAGGTGTTTACTCAATCTGGGATCTGCAAAACTATATTCATGGGAAAATGTTTACTTTACTTGAAAGCTGCACAAAGCATATGGAATAGATCATCGCTCAAAAACTTGAGAAATTCTGGGAGGACGGGATTACAAAATTACATAAAAGCTGGCAACAGATAGTGGAACAAAATGATTAATATATTGTTGATAAATTCTTTTACAATAACCCAGCTGAAATTTTCATCGATTTTACCATCATAAAACGTTGTTTACGTCACGACATATTTTAAAATCCAATATATCTTATATTCCTTTGAGTTTTCTTTTCTGTTTATAACTACGTTGATGTTGAAAAGCCTTTCGCTTTATTTTTAATTTAGTCTGTGCTCGTCGGTCTATTCTTTTAGGGCTCTTAGAAGCTGGAAAAGATGCGTTTGCTAAGTATTTGTTCTTTGTTTTTAAAAGACCTTTAAAATGAGCAAAAATCAGTTCGTCTGGTGTATTTTATTTACTAAATCGTCTATTCTGTAGATTCATTATTAACCTCGTTAGTAAACAAAAGAAATGATAATCAAAGTAAAAGAGCTTTTATTTTTAGAGCTTTTGTCATTACCATCCGAATTTGACGGAAACAATGAGCTTATACACGCAAGGAAAAACAGCACTTCATGACTTTTTTGTACATGACAGCCTCAAACCCTCAGTGATGTGATTTAGAGAAATGATTTATTATATATCGTAATATGCATACTATTAAGAAAATCGTTTCAATAATTACATGTATGCCGTGGAATCCAGTAATTTTGAAGAGACAGGATCCGTAAATGGAGTCTTAAATAGTAAATTCTGATTTGGTATATTTGTATCTTTGCAATACGGAAAAGTAAATTCCTAATATTACGGTAATTAATAGTCATTTTGAGGCTTGAGTATGATTTCTTTCTATAATTCTATGATGTGCCCACGTATATGTTACAACATGTCAAACTATTTATACACCATTTTTATATTTAAATAAAATTATCGTGTTTCGAAGAACTTAAAACTTTCTGTGTGTATAAGGTTATACTTGTGATCACTAAGATAAACAAAACTTTAAATTCATGAGATTGTTGTTCAATTGATAAGCTGAGTCTGTTTATAATTTGCTTAAATTTTTAAGATGCGTGCCGAAAACACCAGAAATTTTTTTTTCATCTTATGATAACAAACTTCGACTGAGATATTCAATGAGCTCACCTTTTCTAAATGGGAAGATAGGCCGGAAGTTTAACTTACTGTGACGGGGGTTGTCAAAATGCTTTTAAGGAGGTACCAAGGCAGAGTCTTATCATTGATAAGGAATTGCCAATTGCATAACGTTGGAGCAAAGTCAGTGTTCCTGCTTGAAATTCAACGCTTCTATATTGAAACAATATCTGATCATTTTGGGATATTAAAAACCTTAATTATGAATATGATATGGGATAAAAATGCATATTCCAAAAATTATACATTTTGATATATAGGGTGAGTCATTTTTTGACACACCATTGGAAAATCAACGTGGGTGCGTTTAAATCTGACTCGAGGCTTATTTCCTTTTATTAATACGTTAATCAAAGAAAGTGAATCAATTTTCGGTGCACCACTGGAAAATCAACGTGGGTGCTTTTAAATCTGACTCAAGGCCTATTTCTTTTGATTTTAACATTAAAAAAGGAAGTGAGTCTATTTTCGGTGCACCATAGGAAAATCAACATTGGTGCGTCTAATTATGACTCGGCACATTTTATTTTGTTAGTCTCCTACCAAAAAATAGGCGAGTCACTTTTCGACGCACCATTCGTTACAAATTAGTTTTAGTAGGTTGGAAGGAAAATAAACAAAACAAATATTATTAAAACATTATTCAAACACAATGTAAAAATTAAAAAGAAAATTCTTCACAAATAAATTTGATCAAGGTTTAAGAGTATTTTTTTCTGGCAAAGTAAAAAAAGTAAATAAATGTACCAATTTCCTTTTTTCTGGTAAAGTAAAAAATTAAATAAATGTAACAACCTCTTTTCTTATGGTAAAGTAAAAAATTAAATAAATGTAACCATCTCCTTTGTTAGCAAACCAAAAATGTTCAAAATCATTATAATAACTATTATTGTTCGAACAGACCTCCATTTGCTGCAACACAATAGCCTAGTCTATCGTAAAACGATGATCGGACGAAAAAAATACTCTCAAACCTTAATCAAATTAATTTGTTAAGAATCTTTTTTTAAAATTTTTACATTGTGTTTGAATGTTTTAATAATATTGGTTTTGTTTATTTTCCTTCCAACATACTAAAAATAATTTTTAACGAATGGTTTGTCGAAAAGTGACTCGCCTATTTTTTGGTAGGAGACTAACAAAATAAAATGTGCCGAGTCATAATTAGACGCACCAACGTTGATTTTCCTATGGTGCACCGAAAATTAACTCACTTTCTTTTAGTAACGTATTAATCAAAGGAAATTAGCCTCTAGTCAGATTTAAACGCACCCACGTTGATTTTCCAATGGTGCGTCAAAAAATGACTCACCCTGTATATGAATGTTGGGGTCCCATCCTTAGAGTCTTGTCTGCCTGAATTTCTACCTGATCTTTAATATTTTCTCTCTATGCGAGTAAGCTATTGAAGCATCCATGGTAATTTCCACGGAAGCATTCTTCCGGATGTGCGTTTTTTCGAAAATACCCCGAACGCCAGTAAAACCTTATATCTCGTAGTTAAAAAAATTATTAAGATATTTGTAGTTTTTTCTTTAATAGTACAAAAGAACTTACGTATTAAATGTTCTAGCTAGGAAGGTAGAATTTAGAAATGGTAGGCCAAATAAATAATTGCTAATGAGAACGTTAAATAATGGTTAATAGTTATATGGGCCAAATATAGTCGTAACGAACCACTTATTTCCCGATATACTTCACTTGACAAACCATATTTCAAGTAACAATTATATCTCAATCCTACGGTAACCTTGATGGATTACATTTGCTTATTCAGAAGCTAAGCTACTGAATTGAGCTGTTTGTTACTTGTATATGTATATACATATACATTGGACAGTGAGCCAATTTAATTAATAATAATAATAATAATGCTACTTTATTCTAAATTCAAATAAAATTATAACTTTCCAATATAATATAAACACTTAGGGTATAGAAAATTTCGTTTGCCGGAGGTCAATTTCAACAAAATAGTAGTACTTAAAAACAAAATTCAATAAAAAAATATAGAACATAAAAGTAAAGCCGAAAATTGTAATAGGATTGTACTGTTTAGCAGGGTTTCCATGCACGGTTAATATGAAACGGGGAAATCGTACACATCCTCTCTGAGACTAGCATTACATAGATAACATAATTCCGAGAGCCCTTCATCCATGTGGAGTAATTTACCAATATTAATTTGCACCTCATTTTTAATATCTATCGAAAGTCACCCAAATTCCGGATCAAAGTGGCAAAAGGTACGTATGGTTTTTAAACAGCTAAAAATGAGTTGATGCTAGAGCAAACCTCACAGATTTGCTTGATGTTTGCGCAGTAATTTTAACAGTAAGTAAGTCAAAGCGGAGTATTTATTGGATAGAATTATATGCCAGTGTGAGCACCTGATGGCTTTTCTTCTTTCGAGGGGAGTAATTTTTGGAATACGGGAATCAGGAAGATTAAGAACTTTAAGGACATATATAAAGTGAAACTATGAAATTGATCGTTGGTGTTTAGAAGGTAATGGCACGTGTGCTGTTGTAACGATTTGGTACAGATACATTTTTATAACTATGTGACAAAAGATTCTTTGAAATTTTCTGAAGAACGAGTATTAAGGGTTCTAAGAAGATAATTACTTGCTTGTTGGCAAGTGAGAGTTAAACTTTGGTAGAATGTGTGTAGTGAAAAGGTACTAGTGCATTGTCATTTGAAAGAGATTCCTCACGATTAAGAACAAAGGAATGAGCTGTTTGTCCTGAAAATCATTTTTGAACAAAAGGTTCTTTGGAAATCTTGTGGGAAAAAGGAATAGTAAAGGGTGTTAAAAGGATCATTACTGGCGTGTTTATAACCGAGTATTAAAGTTTCTTGCCGGATGGTCCCAAAGGGGTGAATATCTGTAAGAGGACGATCGGGGAAGAGGAGAGAATTTGATTGAGGTGGGGGCGCGTGCGCTCGCCGGCGGTCGGCGAAGAAGACGGCTCGGGGGCGGCAGTGTGGCTTCAGCCGCTATGAGTAAGGGAGCATGATGAACGTGAGCCTTGAGGATGCCGAGGGGAACTGGTCCTCATGGCTCAACTCCTCCTACAACGGCACGTCCTGGCCCTTCGAGCCTGAAAGGAACTACTGGGCCTTGGTTTTAGTCCTTTTCCCTTTCCTCACCCTTTTCGGTAACGTTCTCGTCATACTTGCCGTCTACAGAGAGCGGAGCCTCCAGTCCGCCACTAACTACTTCATCGTCAGCCTTGCCCTCGCAGACCTACTTGTTGCCGTCCTTGTCATGCCCTTCGCCGTTTACGTCCTGGTAAGTAATCTCCCTCCCTAAATGAAAAATATATAAACATGAAAAAAATAAAAATATAATAAAAACAACGAGGACCTACCAACAGAAATATTACAACGATTGAAAAATTTCTCAAAATTTTATATTTCGCGCTAAAATACCTTTTGTTTACTGTATTTTATTTAGCAATTCTTAAAAATGGTATTGAAAACAGTTAACCAAAAACGCACCGGAAGTTTTAACAATTTAAATACTTATAAACAAAAATTTTTAAACAAAAATATAATCTTAAATAATTGAGTTCGGTTTGTGCACTGAGATATTTGAAATACTTAGAATAAATAAATTTTAGGTAGTAGAGACAGAAGAGCGTCAGAAGATTGAGAAATTTCTGCAATGTGCCAGTACCCGTCTTTACTTTTCAGGAAAAATAATTTTTCAATTTTCAATTTTGAATTACGGAAAATAATAAGTATCTGCTTTGTGCAGTAATAAACAATAAACTAAAACGTACTCAAATATTAATTTTCATATAAAAAGTACTGTTCTAATATCCTTTAATAATAAAATTAAATATAATTGTATTTTTATTTTGATATAAAGTTTGAATCACGTATAACAACCAAATATTGCGTTCTAGCAAAAACTATCACAATTTTCATAAGAGAAAACAGAATGTTCATTAATTTTCTGTTGTAAACAAAGAGAACTGAACAATTTTAATTAAGAAATGTTTGGAAAATCCGATTATCTTAAACATAATGCCTTCTATATTTTAGAAAATCTGGTTGTTTTGAACGATTTCTAACGTTTTTCCTTTTGTTCATTCTTTTATCTATTTGGATTGAACCCAAGCAAAAGAAAATAAAAATAACTATAATTAACTCATATACGTTATTATTTTACATTGGAAAGTTGTTATCGTCATTACTCTACAATTACCTCATAAAGAAAAATAGCGTTCCTCAAAGCCAATTGTGACAGATAAAAAGACAAAAAAAAACCCTCATAAAGTTCATCGTTTCAAGGATCTGGCTCCGTTTCTTATTCATGTGACACAAAAATATTTCGCATTACAATTTGCCTAAATAAATAATGTTTAAATTATTATTCAAGGGATTGATGGTAGGATTTGATACGACCTATACGATATGTACTACAAGTTTTTATTGCAAGTAGTGCTGCACTTCTCATTATAATTCGTTTAAATATTTTAAAATAAGAGTGAGAGAGAGAGAGAGAGAGAGTGAGTGAGAGGGGGATGGAGGGAGAGAGTTTGATTGATTGATATCGCTTTATTTACATAATCTCTCAAGATTTGGTCTCGACGACTACTCTTACATCTAAAGCGAAAGAGAGAAGAGAGAGAGAGAGAGAGAGAGAGAGAAAGAGAGCGATTTAATATAAATACTCAAAAAGTCTCTAAACAAACTGAAAAGTTATAGGAAACTATACACTAATAATATTAAATTCACTAATTTCGTGGTCCGCTTGACCAATTAATATATTACAATTAATTAAGGTTTTTAGTTGAGATAAAAAAGTCAATGGCACGAGCGGGATTNTATTAAAAGTTCTATGTAAAAATGTTTAAAAAATGATGCCATCTCTATTATTATCTAAAGCGCTTCTTTAAGCTTAAAGCTTTTTATCCAATCTCAAACTTTGTTAAGAACTAATGGGAGTATCCTTCAGACCTGCGCTTTTCCGCTCGCAGGAGTAGACATGTCGGGTTGCATGGGCCTTTGCACCAATAATTGGCAGTTATTTTGTCATTCTAGTTCACAGGTAGTTGGATTAGAAGCTCTTCCGCAAGTTCCTGCGATGGTGTTTACATGAACCTTTCTCTATTCCTCTGTCCTGAAATAAAATCCCTTTGAACCGAAAAGTTTTTGTCCATTGTCAAATGGATCAAGCTTTTTCGCAATTGATATGCCGCAAAAGGGTTGTAGACCGATAGGTGTCTTCTTCGAAGTTTATTTGAAAATTTTATAGTTGTCTTTTGTCCTGTGTGCCCATCAAAACCGATCAAATGATCTGGACTTAAAAACCGAAGGGGTAGTTGCCACCAGGTCTTTCTTTCTGTTCTTTTGCTGGTGGCAACTAGCCTTTTGATCTCCTTGGCAAAATGTTCAATAACCACAGACGCTTCCTGAAATGCATATTACCAACGTTTTTTTTAATGAATTCTATGCCTTAATTTTTTCAGACAAATATCAGCTCCTGACCCATACTCGGTCTTAAGGTTATCTGTACTGGAGATTCTGGGATCCCTTTTCTTCGTCTGCTAGATATTTTATTTAAAAGTTTTTATTATACAGAGTGAGTAATTTTTTGACGCACCATTGGAAAATCAACGTGGGTGCGTTTCAATCTGACTCGAGGCTTATTTCCTTTGATTAATACGTTAAGAAAAGAAAGTGAGTCAATTTTCGGTGCACCATTGGAAAATCAACGTGGGTGTGTTTAAATCTGACTCAAGGCCTATTTCTTTTGATTTTAACATTAAAAAAAGGAAGTGAGTCAATTTTCGGTGCACTATAGGAAAATTAACGTTGGTGCGTCTAATTATGACGCGGCACAGTTTATTTTGTTAGTCTCGTACCAAAAATTAGGCGAGTCACTTTTCGACGCACCTTTCGTTACAAATTAGTTTTAGTAGGTTGGAAGGAAAATAAACAAAACCAACATTATTAAAACATTATTCAAACACAATGTAAAAATTAAAAAAAAAATTCTTCACAAATTAATTTGATTAAGGTTTAAGAGTATTTTTTTCTGGTAAAGTAAAAAAATTAAATAAATGTAACAATCTCCTTTGTTAGTAAACCAAAAATCTTCAAACTCATTATAATAATTGTTCAAACAGACCTCTATTTGCTGCACCATAGTAGCCTAGTCTATCGTAAAACGATGATCGGAGGAAAAAAATACTCTTAAACCTTAATGAAATTAAATTGTGAAGAATTTTTTTTAAATTTTACATTGTGCTTGTATAATGTTTTAATAATATTTGTTTTGTTTATTTTCCTTCCAACCTACTAAAACTAATTTGTAACGAACGTGCGTCGAAAAGTGACTCGCCTATTTTTTGGTACGAGACTAACAAAATAAAATGTGCCGAGTCATAATTAGACGCACCAACGTTGATTTTCCTATGGTGCACCGAAAATTAACTCACTTTCTTTTAGTAACGTATTAATCAAAGGAAATTAGCCTCGAGTCAGATTTAAACGCACCCACGTTGATTTTCCAATGGTGCGTCAAAAAATGACTCACCCTGTATATGAATGTTGGGGTCCCATCCTTAGAGTCTTGTCTGCCTGAATTTCTACCTGATCTTTAATATTTTCTCTCTATGCGAGTAAGCTATTGAAGCATCCATGGTAATTTCCACGGAAGCATTCTTCCGGATGTGCGTTTTTTCGAAAATACCCCGAACGCCAGTAAAACCTTATATCTCGTAGTTAAAAAAATTATTAAGATATTTGTAGTTTTTTCTTTAATAGTACAAAAGAACTTACGTATTAAATGTTCTAGCTAGGAAGGTAGAATTTAGAAATGGTAGGCCAAATAAATAATTGCTAATGAGAACGTTAAATAATGGTTAATAGTTATATGGGCCAAATATAGTCGTAACGAACCACTTATTTCCCGATATACTTCACTTGACAAACCATATTTCAAGTAACAATTATATCTCAATCCTACGGTAACCTTGATGGATTACATTTGCTTATTCAGAAGCTAAGCTACTGAATTGAGCTGTTTGTTACTTGTATATGTATATACATATACATTGGACAGTGAGCCAATTTAATTAATAATAATAATAATAATGCTACTTTATTCTAAATTCAAATAAAATTATAACTTTCCAATATAATATAAACACTTAGGGTATAGAAAATTTCGTTTGCCGGAGGTCAATTTCAACAAAATAGTAGTACTTAAAAACAAAATTCAATAAAAAAATATAGAACATAAAAGTAAAGCCGAAAATTGTAATAGGATTGTACTGTTTAGCAGGGTTTCCATGCACGGTTAATATGAAACGGGGAAATCGTACACATCCTCTCTGAGACTAGCATTACATAGATAACATAATTCCGAGAGCCCTTCATCCATGTGGAGTAATTTACCAATATTAATTTGCACCTCATTTTTAATATCTATCGAAAGTCACCCAAATTCCGGATCAAAGTGGCAAAAGGTACGTATGGTTTTTAAACAGCTAAAAATGAGTTGATGCTAGAGCAAACCTCACAGATTTGCTTGATGTTTGCGCAGTAATTTTAACAGTAAGTAAGTCAAAGCGGAGTATTTATTGGATAGAATTATATGCCAGTGTGAGCACCTGATGGCTTTTCTTCTTTCGAGGGGAGTAATTTTTGGAATACGGGAATCAGGAAGATTAAGAACTTTAAGGACATATATAAAGTGAAACTATGAAATTGATCGTTGGTGTTTAGAAGGTAATGGCACGTGTGCTGTTGTAACGATTTGGTACAGATACATTTTTATAACTATGTGACAAAAGATTCTTTGAAATTTTCTGAAGAACGAGTATTAAGGGTTCTAAGAAGATAATTACTTGCTTGTTGGCAAGTGAGAGTTAAACTTTGGTAGAATGTGTGTAGTGAAAAGGTACTAGTGCATTGTCATTTGAAAGAGATTCCTCACGATTAAGAACAAAGGAATGAGCTGTTTGTCCTGAAAATCATTTTTGAACAAAAGGTTCTTTGGAAATCTTGTGGGAAAAAGGAATAGTAAAGGGTGTTAAAAGGATCATTACTGGCGTGTTTATAACCGAGTATTAAAGTTTCTTGCCGGATGGTCCCAAAGGGGTGAATATCTGTAAGAGGACGATCGGGGAAGAGGAGAGAATTTGATTGAGGTGGGGGCGCGTGCGCTCGCCGGCGGTCGGCGAAGAAGACGGCTCGGGGGCGGCAGTGTGGCTTCAGCCGCTATGAGTAAGGGAGCATGATGAACGTGAGCCTTGAGGATGCCGAGGGGAACTGGTCCTCATGGCTCAACTCCTCCTACAACGGCACGTCCTGGCCCTTCGAGCCTGAAAGGAACTACTGGGCCTTGGTTTTAGTCCTTTTCCCTTTCCTCACCCTTTTCGGTAACGTTCTCGTCATACTTGCCGTCTACAGAGAGCGGAGCCTCCAGTCCGCCACTAACTACTTCATCGTCAGCCTTGCCCTCGCAGACCTACTTGTTGCCGTCCTTGTCATGCCCTTCGCCGTTTACGTCCTGGTAAGTAATCTCCCTCCCTAAATGAAAAATATATAAACATGAAAAAAATAAAAATATAATAAAAACAACGAGGACCTACCAACAGAAATATTACAACGATTGAAAAATTTCTCAAAATTTTATATTTCGCGCTAAAATACCTTTTGTTTACTGTATTTTATTTAGCAATTCTTAAAAATGGTATTGAAAACAGTTAACCAAAAACGCACCGGAAGTTTTAACAATTTAAATACTTATAAACAAAAATTTTTAAACAAAAATATAATCTTAAATAATTGAGTTCGGTTTGTGCACTGAGATATTTGAAATACTTAGAATAAATAAATTTTAGGTAGTAGAGACAGAAGAGCGTCAGAAGATTGAGAAATTTCTGCAATGTGCCAGTACCCGTCTTTACTTTTCAGGAAAAATAATTTTTCAATTTTCAATTTTGAATTACGGAAAATAATAAGTATCTGCTTTGTGCAGTAATAAACAATAAACTAAAACGTACTCAAATATTAATTTTCATATAAAAAGTACTGTTCTAATATCCTTTAATAATAAAATTAAATATAATTGTATTTTTATTTTGATATAAAGTTTGAATCACGTATAACAACCAAATATTGCGTTCTAGCAAAAACTATCACAATTTTCATAAGAGAAAACAGAATGTTCATTAATTTTCTGTTGTAAACAAAGAGAACTGAACAATTTTAATTAAGAAATGTTTGGAAAATCCGATTATCTTAAACATAATGCCTTCTATATTTTAGAAAATCTGGTTGTTTTGAACGATTTCTAACGTTTTTCCTTTTGTTCATTCTTTTATCTATTTGGATTGAACCCAAGCAAAAGAAAATAAAAATAACTATAATTAACTCATATACGTTATTATTTTACATTGGAAAGTTGTTATCGTCATTACTCTACAATTACCTCATAAAGAAAAATAGCGTTCCTCAAAGCCAATTGTGACAGATAAAAAGACAAAAAAAAACCCTCATAAAGTTCATCGTTTCAAGGATCTGGCTCCGTTTCTTATTCATGTGACACAAAAATATTTCGCATTACAATTTGCCTAAATAAATAATGTTTAAATTATTATTCAAGGGATTGATGGTAGGATTTGATACGACCTATACGATATGTACTACAAGTTTTTATTGCAAGTAGTGCTGCACTTCTCATTATAATTCGTTTAAATATTTTAAAATAAGAGTGAGAGAGAGAGAGAGAGAGAGTGAGTGAGAGGGGGATGGAGGGAGAGAGTTTGATTGATTGATATCGCTTTATTTACATAATCTCTCAAGATTTGGTCTCGACGACTACTCTTACATCTAAAGCGAAAGAGAGAAGAGAGAGAGAGAGAGAGAGAGAGAGAAAGAGAGCGATTTAATATAAATACTCAAAAAGTCTCTAAACAAACTGAAAAGTTATAGGAAACTATACACTAATAATATTAAATTCACTAATTTCGTGGTCCGCTTGACCAATTAATATATTACAATTAATTAAGGTTTTTAGTTGAGATAAAAAAGTCAATGGCACGAGCGGGATT